GCTAAACTTATCTCACTGAAGTCGCCCGTGAAGGAGAGCGCTCGGCGCACGTTCGCTCGCTACCGTTTCCAGGCGAGAACTAACAAGAGATAATTAAATGTGAAATTTTTAAAGGAATTATCTTAGTTGAACATTATAAGTCTTTGTTTCATTTATTTATCTATATTTTTTATTAATGTTAAGAACATGAAAAGTAACGTGTGTTTAGTTTAATAATGAGAATTTGGGAAATTTTGTATAGGTGTGAGAACTTATGAAGCATTTAGCATTACATGTTCAGACAAGGCGTGTAATTCGTGTAAAAAATAACTGATTTGGAGAATATTACAATACTATGGTATTTCATAATTACAGTTCTACGAGGATATTTTTTGAACTATTTGCATTTGCTTGCAAAATGAATACTGACATTACCATGTGCAATGTATATCCAAAATAAATGTATATCCCCATTGTTGCTTTCAAGCAGCGCTGGCAATAACGCGCTGTAGCGAAAGCCGCCGCTGCCTCCGGTGGACTCTATTATTTATTAATTTCCATTATTTCACTTTCTTTCATAGTGTTTACGCAGAAAAATTATAAGCTAAAATACGCATAGAAAATGTTTGTAAATACACTGAATACTGCGTACACTGAATTCAATGCCAGAAATATATTTTGATTTAAATTTTGAATAAAATATATATTTTTTACAATTCTTTTATTTGCACGATAAAGTAATATTTGAAGTATAAGAAAGGCAGAAATTAACATTTATTACGATGACATAATAATATTACGAATAAGTATGTGCCGTTGTAGCACCACTAGTTTCTTTAAACTTTTGGCAAGAATATTGCTAATTGTACTGATTAAGATGACCCATTGTCGATTACCATCTTATCAGTATCTTACGAACAATATCAAGAGTTTTTGAAAATATGGCCAGGAAACATATCGCACCTCCAATAGAAAAGTGACACAAGTGTGAAATCGTCATTTTTCAGCTAAAAGCTGATAAGACGTTACCAAGAGGTAATGCTACTATTCTGAAGTTGATTTTAAATTAGTTCAATTACTATCCGCTAGAATGTGAATATTTGCTACAATCTATAACGAGGTTTTCAGAATTACGAAACTTAAAATTGCAATTTCTGATAAATCAGAAATTCGCACTTGTGTCACTTTTCTATTGGAGGTGCGATATCAAATACCACCTTCAAAATTTCAGTATTTTGAATAAAACCAGTCAGTCTTTAGACCCGGAAAAGCAGAGGAACTGCGCTCCTAGGTGTGATTGAAAACGCCAGATATGCAATGACAACGGTAAAATTACAATTATCGTTCTTCTCAATTTTAGCAAGGCATTCGATTCTGTCGACCACGATATTTTATTAGCAAAGTAATAGAATGGTGCTGCCGAAGCCCATACTTTCTCGCATTGATTCTAATAGCTCCGCAACATTACACTACTACATAACCAGCAGAAGTATTATCAAGCTGCTAATTATTTTACCACTCCTAGACTGGAACTCAGTTCTTCAGAGTTAACTTGCAGGTACTCAAACTACAATGCCACAGAATTACCGCATGAGCCGAACTTGGACAAAGGTATAAAATGGTAAATGCCCGATTCATGTAATAAAACTTCCACAATCAAAATATATATTAGAAACTTCCAAAGCCTTCAGTCCGATAAGAACAATCAGGGCATTTCAATTTACGGTTTGGGCGCTAGAATTAACCACAGACGGACAGACAAATGGACAAACGGTCATTTGGTCGTCAATCGATTTTTCGGTATGAAGAACCAACAAAACTTGGTGTCTTACTACACCATTAGTTAGAGAATTTCTTTCTAAATTTAGCAGCAGGATTTGTTCACTATTTCATTACCAGAACCCGGCAATAAGGTTCATTCGGTCGAAATGTCGGCGTTTTCTGGCGCACGATTATATAACTTTTTGTTCTTACGAAGAATTCCTGAGTCGAGAGGCCTAATAATTTCTGAACCGTTAAGGATATCTAAGTTGGTCACACGGCTAGTGTTCATAACGTATTTAAATTCCATGTCGATAGATACATTAGTTTACTTAAATCGGTTCACAAAGATGTACATAATCTCAACAACTAATTTGACGTCACATACGTTTTCCAAATCGCAAAAAACAGTTGAGAAAAGATGTTAAAAAGTTACAAATTGCGAAAGCGCATACAGAAACGTCCGGTTTATTTGTAAATATAATGATTGCATTTGTGGGTAGAAATGCTTTTTAAAATTTAGATTTATTTAGTAAAAAACAGTAAAAACTGTGACGTATGGGTGAGAAGATCATCTGCGCATGTTTTCTTGGGTTCCAGAATCTCTTCCCATTATTTCAACTATAAATTCGACGAAATAAAAGTTTTCTACATATATGTTGTGTGGTGTCACATTCGGACTTCAATAAGACTAGGGAAGAGCATCCTGTGATGAAGAATCTTAACGCAGACAGAATTTTTTTTTTAATTATAAAAAAATATGTTGTATGAGGGAGGTTATGAGACGCGAGTGGTCTCAAAATAATAATAGTTTAAACAATATTTCCAAAGCCGCGCGCAGAACAAATGGCGACGCGAACCGCGGCAAGAGCGTCCAAGAACGGCTCGTCCGCTCGCTCACTGCGGGAAGTAGCAAGAAGTTCGTTGGCGGCGGAGAATAGGCAGTAACGGGCAGAACCTGGTGGTGTGCGTCAGGGAACCAGTGGGTGAAAAGTTATGTCGAGACATTGAGTAAAGCGAAAGTGATAGGAAATAGGAATACCGAAGGTGAAAGTAATTGTAATTTATGTAGGGAATAAATCAGTAAAATAGTAATTGCGTAGGACATAAAGAGAAGACAATGCTGGTTAGAAGCATTCGCCACTTGGCGTTAAGAGACAGTGTTATTGAGCGAAGAGCAGCAGTGGTGATGAACCAGGTGACGACATTGTGATTATTTTGAATCGGTCCCTACCCTTATAGACGAACAATTGTATTGCGATACGCGGGGGAATTCAAAATCAGACGGCGCAAGTGGCAAGACGGCAGTGCAAGTATTACATCATGGATGGGCATCACGGCGACGGTTTCACTTCGGGGGCGCCGAATAGTACCGAGTGCCACCGGACGAAGCTGATGTTCCGGAGAGGTGATGACTGTTGGAGAGGGGGCAGGAAGCCACTGCTCAACAACGAGTATTCGAGTAACATTCCAATGTACGGTAATGATTAAACCGATATGTATTTGTAAAATGATTAATGGTGATCACCATAGGGTGATTATTTGTAGTGATTTCGTTAATAAATGCATTCTTTGCATTGTTTTTACTCTTTAAAGAAGTGTTTTCATTTCGTTTATTGCATGGTAAGTTACATGCAACCAACAATGGACTCTCTTTCCCATAATTAATTAATTCCATCCAGTCGATGAAATAATATGTTGTCATTGGTTCACGGTGTCATGAAGGATGAGTATGGTCTTATATATATATATATATATATATATATATATATATATATATATATATATATATATATATATATATTACCCCGTATGTATACGGAAAAGTAAACATGAAAAAAATAAAAGCATTTATGCTTTTATAAGTGAATGGATTGCCTACCTGTTCGGGGCACCGGGGTGGCGCCGCTCGGGCGCCGCCGCAAGGAAGAAGGGTTGCGCAATGGGAGCGTCGTCGTTGAAAGGCGCTGAACCTGGGGCGGTGGAGGCGGTGGTGTCGACGCGATTGGCGGCTGTGGGGTTGGTCTCGGGAAGGTGCGAGGGTGCGGGCGTCGGGGGAGTGGGGAGAGTTGCGTCCCTCTCGGAGGGAGGGTCGCGAGATGCGGGGGCCGTGGGCGTGGTCGTGGGTGATGTCAGCGGAGGCGCCAGCGTGGTGTCGTCCATGTCTGAAGGTGACGATGAAGGTGAGGCGGAAGCTGCAGCCGCCTCGTGCAGGCCCGTCAGCCGCCGCACAACTTCCTTGTCACGCGATTGGCCGTTGCGGGTGCCTGCCGCGTCCAGTACCATCACGCCCACCTGACAGGACACATTAAACACAATCACGGTTATGCATTTGATGAGTAATTCAATTAACTTGCAGATGGGTGGGAGGATATTTGTAAAACGTGTAGTAACGGGGTATTAGTTTCTCATTGGTTCGTTAATAATTAAATTAAATTTGCCAAATACTGTATACCAAACAGCATTCACTGCATGAATTACCAAACAAAATATAATATTTATCCCAATATTCAATCTAAATATTTAAAACACAAAGAGATTTCGTTTGGAAAGGTATTTGAGCTTTCTACTTCATCACATTTTCAAATATTAGATCTCTTTACAATAATTACTCTTTATAGGTGTCTTTATATGATGCATTTAGATTTGGCGAAGTGAAGGTAAGAAACGTTTTAAGTGCAAAGATTGACTACTATTATATTTCAAAGGTTAGTGAGTGTTTTCAAATAAACTTAATGACCAGTAATCCAGAAGAGATCATGTGACACATGCATCTCTTCACAAAAACGTCTTAGTTATATTTATGTGGCCCATTACGTTTTTAAGTTGAAGTAAAGAGCAGGATATCCTACAATAGTCCACAATAACTTACATTCAGAGATGTAAGTAAATATCTTTTACACATACATTCTCAGAAACATGTTTAACTCTGTGTTCACAAATAATTTTATTGTTCCAAAACTTGTAAAGCTTTGCATGCATTAGACTAAGAACAACATGAAAGAATTTTTTTTTGTTTTCGATTTTCCGTATAATGCGTATAGGAATCACATGTTCGTAATGACGTTGTTGTAGAGTGTTGCTGTGATGAGGTTGTTCGTTGTAGTGGAGAGTAGCTATGTACAGAAGTTCTTTATAACATATTAGATTATTGATCTTCGGTAATAAATCGGATAATAAAATATTTGACTTGAACTTTGTTCTAGTAACTACACATTCGTTGAAATTTTTTAATCATTTATTTTGTGCAATGCATTAGCAGAGATTCATTTAATATCTTTTACCTTTAAGAGTAGCAATTCAACAAGTGTCATCAATCATCTCAGTGTCTCTCGTCGGGTGCGGACGTGTTTTCCGGGAGCTCTTCAAAAGTGAAAGGCATGAGGTGCAGCTCAGCGGTCTACCGGGCGCGCGTTGGTACCTACGCGGCAGCGTACTACGTGTTCGTGTTGTCTTTGCAGCCGGGCCAGGCGAATTACGGCGGTATTCAGGTGATGCTTCTGTGTGCTAGCGTTATTACATCATTATTGGTTATTGGCGGAGTAAAAATGAATCCAGGACCTGGAATGGAGGCAGCGAATGTTGAATGTAGTAAATGCAATCGAAGCGACAGACGAATCCGTAAACTAGAAGGGGAACTTTTGGAACTGCAAAAGTTGGTGTTTTTGTCCCAAAAAAAGGAGCAATTGAAAAAGGTGCTATAAGAGTTGACGTGTCACCGAACCCAGTTGAGGTAACAACTGAGAAGGAGTGTTTGAGCATTTACTGAAACAGGAAAAGAAGAACCGGCAAGGTAGTGAGCGAGGAAGTGAGGGAGGCACCTGATGAGGCGGATAATGTTGCAGCTGATTCCGTGCTTGCAATTGGTGATTCCATTGTACGACACGTGGGGAAGGAAAACAAAATGAAAGTGAAATGTTTACCGGGTATTCGTGTCGATCAATTACGAAGATATATTGAAAGAAAAGATCTGGCTACAGCTGAAACTGATGTTCTTCATGTAGAAACAAACAACTTAAAAGGAAATAGGAAGAACATTACGCGCGATGTATACGAACTTGTCGCGGCGGTGCAAAAGAAGTTTCCCGCAGCTAAAATTGTGCCAAGTGGAATATTGAGAAGAAAAGACATCTTCTGACGTCACATTGCAGAGATTAATGCTATATACGAATGGATGGCGGAACCTCTTAATGTGACATTCCTAGACGCGAATGTCTGGATTCGCGACGACCCGCGTGAGGCTTTTGGTCGCCACAGCGATTTTGACAGGGACGGACTGCATCTAAATTGGAAAATATCTTGCAAGCTTGTTCTCTAGAGTAGGCGAGGCCAAAACCCGACTGCACGATTGAGGTTCCTCAGCGATGGTCGCAGCAACGACAGTAAATTGTGAGTGGGGTGGAGAACCTGAGACAGTAGCGAGGGAGGGCCGAAATGAATAGATAAGGGCAACTGTGAAAGGAAACGACGAGGAGTATTCAACTCCAGAATTCATCGTCGGAGCACAGGCTGCGGCAACAGGCGTGAACGAGTCGACTGCGCAGGACTTGAGCGAAACAGAGACGGTGGTGGTAGTAACGGGCGGGAACGACTCGGCAGCGCGGAATGAAGACGACTACTGGTGAGCACGAGGATGTCAGCTCGGCGGCGAGAACGGCACGTGAACACCCCGCGCAGCGGCGGTGGCTCAGCGGCGACGGCGGCAGCGGCAGAGCCGACGGTGACGATGGCAGAGACGTCTTCGGAGGACGCGCCTTCTCGTGAATACATTCAGGAGGGGAAAGGGTTTTTAATATTGTTGCAGGTAAACTGTTGGAGCATAATCAATAAAGAAATAGAGTTTTGGAATCTAAATGATGCCTGTGATCCCGACATAATGATAGGGACTGAGTCATGGCTAACTGAGGAAATCGGGTCCTTTGAAATTTTTCATTCTCATTACAAGATCTTCAGGAGGAATAGAAATGGAAGAGAGGGCGGAGTTTTTATTTGGGTCAAAGCAGGCATGAATATTAGATTAAATTGGGTCAGAACAGAGTTTGAAATGATGCGAATAGAAATTATTATTTCAGGAACCATATTAGAAATAATTGCGTGCTATAGGCCTCCGAGCGACGGTTTCGACATTTTAGATGGCATCTTTCAGAAAACAGGTAACGAGAATCGCCATTCCATTGTTATTGGAGGTGACTAGTGCAAAGATTCCTAACGCAAATTGGGAGGGAACCGTGAGCGAGGGCAAAGTCCAAACACTTGTGAACAGTTTAGTTTGGGACAGGGGGTTAACTCAGGTAGTTCGGAGCGGAACGCGGCAGGATGCGATTTTTGATGTCTACTTAATTAGGTCGAAAGAACTTTTCATATCTTGTGAAGTTGTAGAGGGCATTAGCGACAAAAAGCGGTTCTGCTTCACGTAGACGAAAATTTTTCAAGGAAAGGTATCTCGATAGGAACAAAAGTACGGCAATACAGGAAAGCAAATGTAGACGGACTTCAAGGTTTTTTTTAAGGAATAATACAATCACTTTCTGAGAACCGAGGAAGGTGTGGAAAAAATATGGGGCGATCAAATATATTATAAACGAATCTTTGCAAAGATCTGTTCCCTGCAAAATTTTAAATAAAAATCTGACCCAGAATACTACAATGCAAAAATTAGGTGAATGAAGAGGGTAACGAGATAGGCACTCAATAACAGAAAACGCAGTAGCGAATATATGAATACTTTTCGAAATCGTTCGAAGGATTTGGAGCGAGAAAAAAAAATTGCTCAGGAAACATATCTAAAGAATATTCTAGATGAGAAGGGAAATAACTGGACAGGATTTTATAAATATGTTCGTAGAAGGAAAGGAAATTAAGCGAATATCCCTGTTGGCCGTGAGAACGGAAACACGCTCATTACTAACGATCGGGCAAAAGCTAATGCGTTTAATACGTATTTCAGTTCCGTTTTCAAAAGAAATACAAACCATTCATTAATTCAGGGGTATTCGGTTCCAAATCAGTTTAAAATTGAAGTGAACGTTCTACGGAATAAAGAAAAATCTATGAAAAATGGTAAGTCAAGGGGTCCAGATGACAATTCTACGGACATAATTAAACTAGGAGGAGAGGCAATATTATCGTACCTAATATAGTAAGAAGTTCACGTATTCATGAACAATTCTAAAGTACCTGAAGACTAGAAATTAGCTTTTGTCGTACCAATTTAAAAGTAGCGACAAAACTATATTAAGTAATTAAAAGCCGGTAAGTCTTACGTCAGTGGTCTGTAAACTTATGGAGTATCTAGTTGCCATTTACATTAAGCAAGAATGGCCAACACGGCTTCAGAAGTGGTTATTTATGTGAAAGTCAGGTAGCCATGTTATTTCAGATTCTAGCCGATGAAATTGACGCGGGTGGGAGAGAAGACACAATAGTTACAGATTTTGCCAAAGCGTTTGATGTCGTTCCCCACGATCGGCCCGTACAGAAATTAATTTGAATTCAGGCATAGATTTCAGGGTGGTGGTGTGGATTAGCGAGTTTCTGCGAGACAGAAAACAGAAAGTCCAAAGAATTGGCCATGAGTTTTCTACCGGGGCAAGCGTTACGTCAGGAATACCGCAGGGGACTGTCATTGGACCTCTTCTATTTCTAGCGTTCGTCAATGTTCTGCCACCGCAATTAATATAAAATGTTCGGATATTTGCAGATGATTGCATAATATATCGTAGTGTGAATTCGAAAGAAGACGAAGAAAAGTTGCAACGGGATCATAATGCGTTACATTGCTGGGTGGGAAATAATGTAATGACCATAAATAGCTTCAAAAGCAAATCCATCACTTTTGGCAGGAGCCATAATTACAGAGAAACAAATTACCGTTTAGATAAAGACATTATTCCGATAGTTTCTTGATGCAGGTACCTAGGAATCCATTTCGATAGTAAATTAAGCGGGAAAAATCACGTAGATTTGCTTGCCTGGAGATCTCTTCACTTTGTAATGCTCACCTTAAAAAAGAGTACGGCAAACGCGAAGGAAACTGCTTATTTATTGCTTGTTTGTCCGATAATAGAATATGGTACAATTTGTTGGGATCCGCACAAAATTATGCAGTGTAAAAATTTAGAAAGAATTCAGCGTAGGGCTGCTAAATTTACTTTCAGGGACAAGAAATCATATAAGATATTATATCATTTG